GACGAACAAGGGTCGAGAAAGCTCGACAGAGCGCAGCTAGCTTACTGGCTTCGGTCCTTGTTCGGGATGTCGACGGGATGCAAACTAGAGTCGATAAAGATCGGCAGAGCACAGCTAACGTACTGGCTTCGGTCCTGGTTTGCGAGGATGTGATCGTTGGCAGGTTTAGGAAGCAGATACGAGTCGGTCGTAGGCCTTGCTCTCCGCTGTGTAGCATCGAGTTCGGTTGACGGTCCGGATCGGTCTGGTCCTGATTAATTCGGCGTCGCGGATTATATACTTGACGCTTCTTTGTCTCCGCGCGTCGTACACGTGTGCGTCGCGTGCTCGCGGCGCTCGCTCGCTATTGTTTCCGCTGTGCTTGATTTCTCGCGTGATCTTCGCTCGCTTTGTTTATACTCGTTATCGTGTTTTGTTTGTCGGTCTTTCGGAGTTTTATTGTTGGCGCAACGCGCCGGTGCACGGCCCGACTGATGGTCGGTCGGGCCGGAGTAGTGACGATGCAGGTGTGCATCGTTACATGTCTGAAAAGCTCGAGGAATTGGAATCTTGCGTGAGTCCAACCCAACTTTCAAACTCTTCGTTTCGACATGGCGATACCATGTCATCGTTTTTGGTGTCACATCGACCGCCGATTTACATTTCCCAGTTTTCTAGTTGATTTGACGATTGAGAGAGTTTTCGAGACCAATTTACGTTGCTTATCATTAATAATCGCGAGTTCTCTGCGTTCGCTCAGATGCACTTTCTATCCAGCCTTGTTGGTCGCGCTCTGGAGACAATTACAAACATTCTCATTACCGCTGATAATTTCGAGATCGCATGAGAGTCTTACTTCACGCTATGAAAATAAACGTCGTCGAAAATAAACCGTCGTTCACGAAACAGCTGCGAAACTAAACAACTTGGACTGCGTTCAGATTCCACATCCGGGTGTATTCTATTACTAGAAGTGCTATAGCATATGTAACATATACTATAGTGTTTCTAGTAATAGAGTGCACCCGGATGAAGAATCTGAACGCACCCTTACGAAATGATGCAAATCGAGTATCGTTGAGAAACTTAAATCGCTGATTAAACGAAATTCTCAGTGATATACTCGTATATAGCGTATCTCAAAGATTAGATGCAACGACTGGTAAAGCACGGAAACTCAAATGCGGTGATGACTTGAACATTTCATTGTACGAAGATTTGGATCAATTTCTTTCCGCTCGCGCTCGGGTTCTCGAAGAATTAACCATTTTTAATAGCGGCAAATGCGTGCATCCGCACAAAATCTTGAATGTTACAGCGGCTACAGTCACATTGGTATCATGCCCACTTTGTTACTCGGCTTATTTTATAAACAATCTACATGGCATTAGATATTCTATGTATATATATGAAAGCTCCATGATGTGAAAAAACATCCTGTATATCCATTGCACATACATTTTATATACGTAAGATGAATATACATGACGATATATACTATATAAAAACATTAATGGTTTTAATATCTATATATTATATATAATGTCACATATGTCACAATGTATATTTCATGAATATACATATTTTGGAACATACTTCGATACATATCGCAAGCACATTCGTTAAAGGAAATTTGCAGTACATTCGATATCTGTGATAAATGGTACATTCGGCGTGTGTATGTACATGAATATATTATAATGTTCATCTTATATATATATATACATTGGTAGACTTAACATGTATATACAGGGTGTCCCGCGTAAGATGTGCCAAAAGAAAAATATAAGTAGAACAGATAGAATTGAACAAAAATTAGTAAAGATCATTTTTCAAACAACCACGTAAAATTTCGAGATATTAATAAAAATA